TATATATATATATATATATATATATATATATATTATATATATATATATAGTATACACACACATGCACACACACACACACACATATATAAAGAAATACGCATAGGTTTCACACCTTTTAATGTTTTTTTCTACTGAAAGGAATTACCAATAGGCATAGCAAATCAAAATACAGCAACGAATCCAAAGAGTTAACAAACAAATAAGATATCAAAGAATGATAATAGTAATTACTAAAAGGATTCGATAACTAATTCTACACTCTGTTTAGCATATTTCTTCTGCTTTGATGAGGGGAAAAGTTAGCTAAAAACAATGAAAAATATGGTAAAAAAAGGAAAAGCAGAAAATAAGGTAATGCAAATAGGAAAGAAGAAATCACAAGAAAGGGAGGTAATCACAAAACAACAAAATAAGTAGTTGCATTAGAACATGTCATTAAGAGCGTATGTAAAAGATTAAGAGGTTAAAATGGCCAGAAGAATATTATCATAAGAAAAAAATCACGATTATATTACTTCTTAACAAAACCATGAATTAATGGACATATACTACACTATCCAATCTCAGGAAAGGAAAAGCTGGCAACTCGAGCTAGAATACTCCGATTCGTCGTCTTTTGATAAATATATATATATATATATATATATATATATATATATATATATATATATATATATATATATATATAACAAAATAAAATAATAGCATGGTATACATCAATACAGATATTACATTGTAATTTTTTGAAATACCAAACATATGCATGCAAGAACATTAAGTATCAGTTGCTTAAGTAGCAGTTATAATTTTTAAAAAATTGAAAATAAAATAGAGACAGCAAATCAAAACATCCCAGAGTCAGGGGTGAGTTGCCACAGTGGGATTAGTTATTTTTTCTTTATTCTTTATTTATTTATTCATTTATAACATACCATTATCTAAGTTAACTAATAATGATAGGAAAAAAAGTCTTGTTTTTACTAAATATATACCTGCTGACTGATGGCCCCCCCCCGTCCAAAAAAAGAAAAAAATACATATATAATATTGTATAATGGCGATAAAAAATAATCTCCCAAAGAAAATGATCTCACATAGAAAGAAATGCCTGCTGACTAGTATAATACAAGTAATATTTCACTTAACTCGTTATTTTTCATACTGTGATTGAATTGCCGGTTCATTGCTGCAATTCAATAGTTACCCCATTTTAACAAGAAATCAGACCAAAGAAGAATTGGCAACTATCGTACAGCCATATGAATTCCTTATGATTAGTTATCCATATTTATTTCTCTTCTCAAAGTGTTAACTAGAAGATATTAGGAGAATAGAAAAGGTAACAGAGAGAAACAGAACAAAAAACAGTCAGGGTTTCGATGTCGTGATCCATACAGGCCTATGTACCTGCAACCAAACCGTAGAAAAGAGAATACAATAGGCCTACGTATCAGGAAGTCAAAAGGTAGAAAAGAAAATACAGCCTATGCTTAGAATGAATGGAAAACTGAGAATACAAACGATATACTTAAAATGGACAGAAGAAAAAACAGCAGAATATACCCAAAATACAACAAACTTTGGTTAGGATAGAAAAGAGAATACAAATGTTTATAATGAATAGAAAAGAGAACGCAAATGTTTAAAAGGAATGGAAATGAGAGAACACTTGTCTGTACTTAGAAAGAATTGAGGAAAAAGACAAACAAGGTGGCTTTCTCTCTTTATCTCTCTCTCTATCAATCTATCCATCTCTATCTCTTTCACACTCTCACTCACTCATCCCTTCCTCATTCTCCCTCCCTCTCACTTTCTCATTCTCCCGGTCCCTCCCTCCCTCCCTCTTTCTCTCTTTGTCACGTTCAGAGAACATATTAACATGAACTATTGTTAAATGACATGACGCCTCTGCCACAACACGGGGCATGATTCGGTCTAGCGTTTGTGTAGCGCATGCCGTCATGACAGTCTTAAATACCAACGGTCTGCCTCATGCGATGGAGAGAAACTCATGCGTGATGGTCATAATCTTTACGTGATAATGTTTTCGTTTTCTTCTTTTTTACAAAATGAAGAAAAAAGATGGTAGAAAAAGATGTGTTAGATGGCGAGAGAGGGAGAGGGAGAGAAAAAGAGAAAAAGAGAGAGGGGGGGAAGAGAGAGATAGCGAGAGACAAAGACAGAGAGAGAGAGAGGGGGGAAAGAGTTAAAGAGATTGTTTATTCCCATTTTCTTATACTTCCCTCTCCGTTTTCTTTACCCTTCTCACCTCATTCTCTTACATGACTCCGAGTTCATCCAACTTTTAATTCTTGCTTGCTTCACCCCTCTCCCTCTCCCTCCTCTCCTTACACCTCCCATAAAGAAGAAATACAAAAAAAGAAGAACAAAATACAGGGAAAAAACAGAATGTAAATTTGTTAGCTGAATGCGACCCTCCCTTCTATAATCGCCCAGAGATCGCATGCAAGGCCGCACCCGCAGTCACGTGATGACACAT